AGCAGGGACTAGATTCATCCACTCTGTTTTTTTCCCCAGCCCTTCCTACTTTTTGTTGAAGGGACAGTATGGAAATGAAAAAAGTGGGGAAATCCCAGTCTGAAAAGTTATGTGCTGATTCATAAATCTTAAATTATCCATGACATTGCCCGAGACGTTTGTGTGTGTTTCAAGCTGACTTGAAAGAGTGAAATGTCCTGTCAGATTATCTGAGATGTTACTTTTATGTAATGTGAGTGAAATTCAGGAAAGCTAAGAAGAGATGTATAGAAAATAGTTTGCCTTATTTGGTTAGTTCAGCTAATCTAATGTTCAAGTACTGTGAAGTCACATTTCTGTTTTAAAATAGTTTCCTGTTACATTCTGAAGCAAGTTTCTGGGCAGTCTAAACCTATTGTATAACACTGTAAACTATTTACACTGACATTTTCATAAATAATATTGTATATCTCTGGATTTATTTTATAAATAATATTGTATATTTAGGGCATTTGAATAGCTATTTTTCATCAAAATTACTTTTATTAGGTCAAGAAAATATGAAAACAAGCAAACTGACCATGGAACTGAGGCATGCTGCAAAGGAAGGGGAACAGAGGGGTCAAACGGGAGAGAGAAACTAGTGATGGTTCACCAGTGATGTGGTGGCGAGAGAGCGATGGGGACTACAGTGATGTAAGAAAAAAATTTTAATTACATAAAATAAAAAACAAAAAAACCCACAAAATGCCTTTTATTGTCCAGAAACATTGCGAAATGACCCTATATTTGAGGCTACACCAGCTTAGGAATCTAACAAAATCCCCTTTTGGAATATGAATGTGTTTGATGAGGAATGCTACATCTTTTTGGTGAATTTGCCATATTGCAAGATATTTCAAGAAAGAAACTGTAGTTGTTGGTTTTTTATTTTTCCTTCTCACATCTTCTTGTGTAGCTTTAAACTGTTCTTTATGCCCTTGGCACAGGAAAGTTTCCCATGCTGTCCTTTTCGTTTGGTTCCTTGAATTATTTATTGTTCTTGCTTCCTTATTGCCCATTCATTTCTTGGGGAAAAAGATTTTTCCATTTTTCTGTTTGTTATTTAGTTCCCTGTGAAACACATAAATAAAGAAGATATCAAATGAGCACGGGCTTATATTTTACCAATTGAGAGAGTCTCAGCTAGTGATGTGCAGAGGTAACTTCAGAGAGTTAGTATTTAAGGCTGTGGTTCCTATGACATGACCAGGCTGTGCTGGGTACCATGGGGATAGCTCCCCCAAGTCATTTCACTGTTTGTCTTCATTCAGTTGCACAGGCAACTCTTCTCCAAGCTAGTCAACACCCAGGTTTCTATGCTGGCCAAGTCACTTAATGCACTCGTTGGGCACATGCATCCTAATCGAACACCTATACATCTCCTTCCAAACATATGGAGAATGGTAAGAGAAGTAAGCCTTAGATACCATCCTGGTATCCCTAGCTTTTGAATGGAACCTACTGATGATATTGAGGAATACGTGCCACCCCCCTCCAAAAAAAAAAAAAAAAGAAAATGAAGACTGTTACTACTATGGAAGTCTAGGAGAGTGAGTTTCTGGAAGGTGGGGAAGGGTCTGGAGCAGTCTCAAGAACAGTTTTTATACCTGTAGTTGCCATGGAAAGGGGGCACTGTTTCTTCAAATATCCCTAACTTCGAGTGTCTGGTTGATGTTCAGAAGAGAGTGCAGAAAGGCCAGGATGATTTAGAGAAGAGGAAACACTTCTTCTGAATGACCTTCTATGAAAAGAGTGGTTGATTGCATTGCAGTAAACCTAGAGTTATGAAAACACCTTCAAGTAGTAGAATTTTTATGGCTCCTTCTCGTTTTCTCATATAGTTTCCAGGAACTAAACAGTGTTGGTATTCTAACTGAATGGGTCTACCATGGACTCAAGTGGTACCTAGAACGGTAAAACTAACCATGTAATGAGGACATTTTTTTCCCACAGCCTGATCTTTCAGCAGATGGAGGTAACATGCTATAAATTAGTATTGCTCTTCAGTTGAATTCTAATGCATTTTACCACATCTAGTAATGCTTAGGTAGGTTTGTTGAAAATGAAGAGAATTTCTAATAATTGGCAGCCTATATTTGCTACTTACATCAGCCCTAAGGAATAGCTTATTGATCTGTCATTGTATGACATACATGTCATCTTCATTTTTTCGTTAGTGCAGTCAACATAGAGCATATAGATTTCTACATTTGCTAGCTAGTGTTCAAAGCTTATATTGTATACAAAGGAGTTTGATGGTATATGTAAGAATGGGGAAAGAGAGAAGGGGAGAAACGAGGAAAATAGGAAAGAAGGCCTTATTACAAAAAGAAAAGTCATCATTTAGTTATCCATCTTGAATTCTCTCCCCCATGTCTCTATCTATATGCTGAGCTTAAATGAAAACATTGGGTCATGATTAAAATCAAGATGTCATATAATCAAGGAGTCTTCATATTTCTTTTGAATTATGAAGGAATTTTTATGTTTAAAGATAAAATTTTGGGAAAGCCTATTATGTAGGCTGCACGTGGGGAGGTTCCAAAGAGGAGTGCTGTTGTGGTAATGCCAAGACTGACTTTTTTTTTTTTTTTTAAAGATTTATTTATTTATGTATACATACAAGCACTGGGCACAGTCAAAAGCGCGGGAGGGTGAGAGAATTCACCAGAGCCAGAGCAGGGAGCAGAGCAGGCAGAAGGACCGAACTACACTGCTGAGGGGAGCAGTGGGTGGCAGGAGAGGTCTGCGCGCCTTGTGGGACCCTCCTTCCATGGCCAGGGAGCAGCCGGGGATCGAACTGGTGCTGCAGAGGCTGCGGGCAGCTTCACAACCCAGCTCTCAACCGCTGTGCACCCGGGGAGGCCCCAAGACTGACTTTTCCAAGTCACTACTGAATTTTATTGCTGGTTTTCCGTTTTCCTCTTACAATGGATATAACTTCACATATGCTTCAAATCGTTTTTTTTTTAAAGGACAGCTCTGCAATAAACTGTTTTCTAAGGGAAATGAAATGTGGCAAGAAAGTGTTTTTCTCATGGTGGGATTAGTGCATTGGCCTTTTAAGGACTGTCGGTTCTGAGAATGGCAGGTGAGAGTGTAAGAAATTTTGAAAGCATCTGACTTTTATGAAAATCTCTTTAGAATATATTCTTCATGCTACTGTATTCTCTCTTCGAAAGATATTTCACTGAAATAGGTAGTTTGCCCTCCCAGCCCTCCCTACTCCCAAACCCTCATCCCCACTACAGAATAGTTCATACATTCTGGTTTTGGTTGTCAAAAGATTTTTGGGGAGATGGACTGGTGTTTACTTTGCATCTGGGTTGTGTTGACCTTTACCCTACCATTTTATGAGGAGCACTTCTTGATCTGTAGCTGTAGCCACATGTTCTGCCTGTAGAATCAACAGTTAGCACATTAGTCTACTTGAATGCTTGCTGTTCCAAAGTTAGCAAATGTAAAGAAAATCACAGCAATCTGACAGTGGAAGTACCTAGGAAGTTCAAACGCCAGGTTTAATGAGGTAGCAGTATAAAACCAGCATCCCTTTCATAAGAGATGGGGACCAGGAGCAAGAGTGGAAACAATTAATGTTTATCTGACCAGCTGCCCAGACCGGCCCCTGTGAGCCCAGCTGGAGCTTGGCTGTCCCTGAATTCTGCAGGCAGCATGCATTTTTTGAAACACTCTTAAATGTTCCAGCCTTTAAATAGCAGCGAGTCTTCTCTGCGTACTGCAGGAGAAATTAAAGCGGCTGCCTTGGAGGCAGGAAGCTGACTAGAGAGATGCTTAATTATTGTGGAAGTAAGTGCTTGTTACTGTTGAGTGGAATGCAGCGAGCACGGGTCGTCCTCGGGGTGTCAGCCGTGAATTGTAGACAATGCAGCCCTGTCAGCGCAGTGCCGGTTCAGCAGCATCTTTCCAAACATGTATTTGGCAAGAATTTAAAGGCCACCTCTTGTGTAATTTGTGGAGTCTTTGGGAAAGGGTCCTCTGCCTTTATTTGCAGGCTGTATGCAACCATGCAGGATTTTGTACCAGGATTTGTGCCTCTTGCCTGCTGCCTGACATGCTCCTGATGAAGTTGGTTTTCTTTGCCCTTCACCTGGAAGGATGTTAACAGTTCTCTGTCGTCCGATGCCTGGGGAACATGGAGAGGTCTACCCAGAGCAACGTTTCCTTTCTGCTGTCTTCATAAATTAGTGCCGAAGGGTGGGGTAGGTTGCAACGAATAAGGAAATGCGGGCATTTTGTTAATTAGTGAAATTTCTAGCTTTAAGAGTAGACAAAACTAAAGAGAGCTTAGGAAACGGTGGTGGATGCTGAATTCATTCTGAAATATTCCTCCTCTGGGTAAGTAAGAAAGTAGAGGAAATAACAGAAATGTGCTAATGGGTGTTATTATGGCTCTGGGAAAACCTTGTTTATTTTCTCTGTTGTATTTGCTTTCGCCAACTATGCTCTTGCCTTTGTAAAGAAACAAAAAGCAAGTATGGATTTTGAAATATGGAGGGTGTTAAATAGTAAGTGTAGCAACACATTCTATAACGTAATTCTTTGATTTTTAGTTTTATTAAAAAGCTGTTTGGCTGTAATTATTGAACCTTGTTGATTAGGTCTCCAACTTTTGGGCAGAGCAGTGATACCTGATGTTCTACATTATAGAGGTCATCAGAGTCTGTGCTTGGGTTAAGAGCCTTGCTGTCTTGGAAGAAGACTCCCCCAACCCCCACCCCCAGTTACATAAAACAGTTCAGTTCAGCTAAAGTGTCAGTGGTCTTCTGATGTCTGCAATTTAAGTTTGGATTTTATTAAATGCTTGATTTCAAACCTGCTTCACTAAAATCATGGATTGTGAACTGTGAACCACACTCTGTTATTGAGACTTATTTTCACGTGCTTGATTCTGGCAGTAGCATATTTATTTTTAGATGTCTTTGTCAAATGCTAATCCCAATTGTCCTCCTCTCTTTCAGGGAAAGCCTGGGATTATGGCAATCACAGAGTCCCAGTAATACAAGTTCCATTCAGTTTTTTCTGAAAGAAAGCTGTCTGTTACGGTGAAGCAAAGGAACGACTGTGGATTATAATGTTTTGAAGATCCCAATTTTCAGAGCTAAGAAAATCAGGCATCGTTTAACCTTTTAAATGAAAAAGATTAAGATCTCATGCAACTGTTGTATTTTCTGGAAACCGTTCTCCAAAAGAGAAGTGCACATTTAACACTTGCCACGATGGTGGTCCTTTCTGCAGGGATTTAAGTCTCATTGCTTTTACATCATGACCAGCCTGAAACGGTCGCAGACGGAAAGGCCAGTCTCCTCGGACAGGGCCTCGGTGGTGGGTAGCGATGGCACCCCCAAGGTCCACACCGACGACCTGTACATGCGGCGCTTCAGGTCTCAAAACGGCAGCTTAGGACCATCGGTCATGGCTCCCGTAGGGCCCCCCCGAAGTGAAGGTTCTCACCATGTGACCTCAACCCCTGGAGTCCCAAAGATGGGGGTGAGGGCACGAATCGCAGATTGGCCCCCAAGAAAGGAAAACATAAAAGAATCTAGCCGTTCAAGCCAGGATATAGAAACCTCAAGTTGCCTTGAGAGCATGTCCTCCAAAAGCAGTCCCGTGAGTCAGGGAAGTTCTGTTAGCCTCAATTCCAGTGACTCAGCCATGTTAAAAAGCATACAGAACACACTGAAGAACAAGACGAGACCTTCGGAGAACATGGACTCCCGATTCCTCATGCCGGAAGCCTATCCCAGCTCCCCCAGGAAAGCTCTGCGCAGGATACGGCAGCGGAGCAACAGCGACATCACCATAAGTGAGCTTGACGTGGATAGCTTTGATGAATGTATCTCGCCCACTTATAAGACTGGGCCCTCGCTGCACAGGGAATATGGTAGCACATCTTCAATTGATAAGCAGGGAACGTCCGGAGAAAGCTTCTTCGATTTGTTAAAGGGCTACAAAGATAACAAATCTGACCGAGGCCCGACTCCGACCAAGCTGAGTGATTTTCTCATTGCTGGTGGGGGCAAGGGTTCTGGTTTCTCTTTGGATGTTATAGACGGACCCATCTCACAGAGAGAGAACCTCAGGCTCTTTAAGGAAAGGGAAAAACCACTCAAGCGACGGTCCAAGTCTGAAACTGGAGACTCATCCATTTTTCGTAAGTTACGCAATGCCAAAGGTGAAGAACTTGGGAAATCCTCGGACCTTGAAGATAACCGGTCAGAAGACTCTGTCAGGCCTTGGACATGTCCAAAGTGCTTTGCCCACTATGATGTCCAGAGCATATTATTTGACTTGAACGAGGCAATCATGAACAGGCACAATGTTATTAAGAGGAGAAACACTACTACAGGGGCCTCGGCAGCTGCCGTGGCATCCCTGGTCTCGGGACCTTTGTCCCATTCAGCCAGTTTCAGTTCCCCGATGGGCAGCACAGAGGACCTGAATTCCAAAGGCAGCCTCAGCATGGACCAGGGAGATGATAAAAGCAATGAACTTGTGCTGAGCTGTCCTTACTTTCGGAATGAGATAGGGGGAGAAGGGGAAAGGAAGATCAGCCTGTCGAAATCAAATTCTGGCTCCTTCAGTGGATGTGAAAGTGCCTCCTTTGAGTCTACCCTCAGCTCCCACTGCACCAACGCAGGAGTGGCAGTACTTGAAGTGCCCAAGGAAAACTTGGTGTTGCATCTAGACAGAGTGAAAAGATACGTTGTGGAACATGTGGATCTTGGTGCATACTATTACAGGAAATTTTTCTACCAGAAAGGTGAGCAGAGATCTTTGATTATTTTCATTTTCTTCTGCTGTGCTCTCTGAAAAAGGTTTGTTTCAAGCAGTGTGCCGCAAGATTTGCATCAATTCCTTTCCTTTCTTGATGGTAAAATAGATCAGTGTAGGTATTTGCTGCAGTTTATGTCCTGTATTTTTTTCAGTTACTTCCTTCTTTCAGGTATGAAAATGCCTTGTCTGCTGGATATTAATTGTTTTTTAAATTTTGTGAATGAAATTAGTATGTGTAGAAGACTTGGCATGTCACCTTTCAGGATAAATGTCGTATAATTAAGTATCTTAATGCTGCTTTTCATTTGTTTAGCACTTCTACAGATAGTACAAGACCATTTCTTTTCCTCAGTGTTCTCACCAGTTAATGAGAATTATGATACGTTTCTTTTCATTTCACTGCAATTTTTGTGAAAATTAATTACATTATCAGAAAAAGTCAGTGAGTCTCAGAGCCAAGAATCAAATCTAGGTCTTGCAGGTTTGAGTAACAAAGACTCTAAAGAGATAAGCATCCTAAACACACTGGAGACTTGACAGTCTATTATGTTTGGGAGGTTGAGGGGGGTATGTACATACATTGCAGGTTGTGCTTTATGTACTGTTTTATCTCATACTTTCCTTAAAAACCCTGTGATTTATTCAAAAGTAAGTAGTATGAATGAACTCTTAAGAGCTTTGTAGTATTTTTGAGCAGCATTGTTAATTGAAGAGTTGATTTTAAGTCATATAAGTAAGAAAGCTAGAAAACAGGATGTGCACCAAGGAAGGACACATGTGTGTGGTCCACTACCCTCACCTGTCATCTCTGCAGCTGGATGGAGCCCCCTGTGTGCAGGTTGCCACATTTTTATTTCCTACCTACTCTTTTGGAGTTTTAAATCTTACTTGGATTTGTTTGTTCCAAACGAAATTTCATATTATTTCTAGTACTCATTATAACTTTATGACCATGTCACTTGAGAATAAAATTAATCTTAAGCTTATTATGTGATAGACCCCCCACAAGAGGCTTCTTGCCCAAAAGAATCTTGTCTCATTACTAAATATCCATATCTCATTATTTAATATTTATGGTATAGATCTATGGGATCAATATGGTAATGAAAATCACAATTTCATTTTGAAGCAATGTTTATTTTCTCAGCAGAATTTTCTGCAGGTCAGATTTTAGAAATCACTTTTCTTATGCTGTCCATTAGGAAACAGGGTGTCTTGACATTGCCACCTTGGCATTTGGGGCTAGCTAATACTTTGGCGGGGGAGGGGGTTGTGATGTTAGGCATTGTAAGATGTAGAATGTTTAGTAGCTTTCCTAGCTTATACCTCCTTCCCACCCCCAGTTGTGACACCGAAAACGTCTCCAGGCATTGCCAGATGTCCCCTAGGATATAAAAATGTCATACTCAGAGCTCGAGCCCCAGCCTTACTGTACAGAGGGAAATTTTCCACAGGTGTTTCTGATCTGTCTGTGGGTGGATATGCTTCTGGTAAAAATTGACATTAAGTCTAACAAAAGAGAACATATTATTTATAATCTTATTTATGTGGTAGTTGGTACTTATTCCTATTAGGCAATATAATAATATTAATAATAAACCTTATGAACACTTCTCATATACCAAGAACTTTGCTAAACATTTGTTCTGAAATGTATTTTTTCATTTCTACCTCTTTATGCCCACTGGGGTGTGGTTACCATTATTGATGGCATTTTCCAAATCAGAAAACTGGGGCTGAAATGGTTTAGTGATTTAAGGGGATGCACCGCCATGGAACTCGTAATACAGGAGCCAGGATCCCACTTCTGGAGTGGCTGACTAGAGCGCTGTTCCTAACTACTATGCCCTTCCTCTACTATAATAGAGTATATCGGAAGAGTATATTTTTATGTTTAAATCTGACAGAAATTTGTTTAAATATTTTGTCTTTCAAAAGCTGGAATAAAAATTTTTGAACACCTCTATTCTAGTGTAACTCAGTTTAGAGCATAACACACCATAAATTTTAAACCCACTTAATTCAAAATAGTTTCTAATTTGAAGCATGGAAAATACCCTTTTACCCAACATAGTTGGAGCTGGTTAGTTGAAGATATCAGTTAAGGCAGGGAATCTTTAAAACACATATATGTGCAAAATTTCTAATTTTCATCAACATGTATAAGAATATTTGTTAAACTCTTGAGAAATCAGTGACTTTTCCTTGGCAGTGATTCTGATATTTTGAATCATATACTAATAGTACAAACCACAGGAGCAAACACATAGACTGTAGCTAGCAAAGTAGTTTAAGTCTTACAGGATTGTGTTTCTCTTTATTTTTTCATTTATTTGTATTTTTCTTGCCCACGTCTGATTCAAAAGCCCCACTTTTTTTTTTCAGTGACTTGCCATTATATTAAGTTTTTCCAAAGCCTTGTACTTAGTTTTTAATAGAAACATGATGTATCTTTTGTGCTTCTGTTCCATCATCTTTCCTAATGTTTAAATTATAAAATTACAATAGCAAGTCAACTGGCATCAACAGGTTCGGGAAGACACAGAGGACTCTGTCAGCATGAAGTCTAGCTGGTGGGAACAGAAAGTGTGTGGTGCTGGAGATTACCTGCTGGTGCCCTTGGACTTTCACGAGCATGGTTCAGACCCATGGTTTAGTCCAGGAAGTTGCTCCAATGAAAGGCAGTTACAGCCAGCACCTGCCATATTTTCTGAGACCACACAACTTAGAATTTTCAAATCAGGCAGGTTAGTTGTCACAATATGATAATGTGCCACACATTTGAAGCTGAAATTAAGCCCCTTAAAGTATAACTGTATATTAACAAATTCATATGCTATCTGTACTTTTTATCACAGCATAAAAATGTGAGCTAATACTGCATATTTTTTAATATTCAACTTTGAGCCATTGAAATTCTTGCACTAAGTGGTTTTTCCTAATTTGACCCTAAATCGAGTCATCTTTTTGAAGGTGTACATCAGTGTCAGGTGGAATTTATTCTCTAGCCACAGGGTATGCCACTGACCTGGCTCTCACTCCAGCCTCTTCAGCACCAGATACTTTCCATTCTGATGCTTGATACATTCCTGACTGCACTGTGGCCAAGCTAGGGGGAGCGGGACTCACTTCTCCCTTGTGTACTCTGTCATTGACATTGTACATCAATTTTAACTATCTTCAGGTGATGAAGCTCCATTCACTTCCTGATATTACATTATTTTTATAAACATGATTGTTTTGCAAATTTAGACCTTAGAGGATGTTTGGCTCTACCATGTAAGCTTATTCCTTTGCGGGAAAGATACCAGATCTATAAAGGAATCCCATTATTTGCACTTATTAAAATAAACAATATACCATCAAGGCTCCTTTCTCCTGCCCGTTTTCTTGGCTGTTTTACTAGTGTGTGGGATGTTTAGACTCATCCAGAATGAAGTGACAGTAATAATACTTGCTGGCATTGCTTGTGTGAATACTTGGTGTTTTATGCAGCTCTCACTTAATGCTCTTAGGACCCAAGGCAAAGCTGACCTTGCGCTTGGTGTCCAAGTGCTGCCCCCCATCCTTCCTAGAGAGACACAGACTAGACAGTAGGAGAGCGTAGGCATTAATTGGTTTATTCTCTGTGAGTATGTTTCTATTCTGTATTTAGCTTTTATTTATATAGTCACCATGATCAAAATATCAAGAAAATTTGTAAGTGGGAAATACCGTGAAAGAATAATTACAACATTGCCTACATGCCTGGCATGACTGTTGAGGGGGAGACTTTTCTAGCCATTACTCACCTCATTTTCTGGGGCCACACAGGTCTTATTTGGTTTGGAACAGAGTGTACAGTTGTCCATAGGGCGTGTCAGAGGGAAGCATTCATAGAAAAGAGAGGAACTCATGGGTTGCCTTGGCAGTAACATCTGTTGCTCCATTGATAGCAGTGGAGTAGGCTTTATCTTGACGCCTGATGGAGTGGCTACTCTCAAAGTCAAGTTACTGAAGGTGGTGTGATAGGGAGGGGCCTCTCCCTACTGCCCAGTGGCCTGGAGAAACTGTTGTTATCCAGTCTGAAGCTCATCAAGAATGTTTTCCCTCTCCTGAGAAGAGGGAAAGCTAATATGTGTGTTCCTAATTATTCTTGTGCTAATTTTAAGCCACCAGATTTGATTGTTTTTACTGTTCACCATCCTCTTCCTCCTCTGCCTTTGCCTACCACATACACATGCACACACCCACAGGTTCAGCAGTGCCCTGTGTCCCTGAATTCATCAGCTGTGGGCACAAACAAGTTGGATTTCAGTTGTTGTTGTGGCATCCAGTTGTCTTTATGTACCTCTCACCCTCTTATAATTTGCTCTCTAACATTACTTCTATAGACTATGTGCACTTAACTTCATTCATACTTGAAGTGACCACTTTAACGTTGTTATATTTTACATTTTGCTGTCAAGAGTTGTTCTCTAACTTCTAGTTTGTTAAATGAGTGTCATTAAGCAGCTATTAGAAGTTTTAGTAGATCAATATAGGATACATATAGAACCTCAGGAACACCACGTAACTAAGCTCATTTGTAAAAATCTGCTTATTTTTGGTTTCTCTTTTTTGTTGTTTTTTAAATCCTTCTATAGATGTAGCAACATTAGGCTTGAGGAAGTTATGTAGTATGTGTTATAATTTAGAGTTCTTTAAGGATAATTCTGTGTTTACTTTTTGATGTGGACAGTTTTCTATTTCAGGTAAATGATAAACACAGAGTGAGTGAAGTCTCTTCACAGTAGTTCTGCTCTGCTGAACTGTGGTGTTCTCTATGCTCTTGAACTTAATTTCAGTCAGAATTATTAGGGAATGATTTTATACATGTATCATTATTCTTTGTTTTAATGCCCTGGTCTTATTTTTTTTATTGAGATCACATAAATTAATTTGAAATAATTCATTTGAAGGTAGTTCTTTAATCTCTAATCTGAGTCCTTTACAAAGAATTTCTCA